AGCATGATATTCCGAATAATCATGTCATGTCATGTCATGTCATGTCATGTCATGTCATGTCATGTCATGTCATGTCATGTCATGTCATGTCATGTCATGTCATGTCATCGTTATATTCGTCAAGAACCGAGGGTACCATTTCGGCGAACCATTATATTAACACTAACACTGCTTAGATTACTATAAATACCATCGATTTCAACGATGATGGAACTAATGATGTTTGCATGTTTTACAGGTTGGCCTCAATGAATTTTCTAAAATGGATCCTTCGATAACATGGCTCAGAATTCAGATATACATCATAGTGTATACTCAGAGTTTCAATAATTAATGGAGACTAAGGTACTTGAACTTCTACGGTTACTTGAACTTCTACGGTTACATACGATTACTTACGGTTACTTACGATTACTTACGGTTACTTACGATTACTTACGGTTACTTACGATTACTTACGGTTACTTACGATTACTTACGGTTACTTACGTTTTCCAGAGCTGGTCAAATCCCACACGTCAGTTTTCCTGATACTGTTTGAGTACAAGCCATTCCCGAATGTTCAAGGAACATTAAATTAAACAACCAAACGTCATAAAAACCATCCAATTCAACATCAAGATTAATGCAATACACGAAATGTACGTCATAAATAGTTTATAGTTAAGTGAAAATAGGCCTAAGTAACTACGACGCTGAAGTTTTAATGGCATGATTAAAATAAAAGATTGGTCAGTCTTAATTGGAAGAATGAACTCTGATGTAATGGTATTCAGAGGTCAAAATTCAGGTCGCCGGTCGGCACATACTAGGATGTCGAACTTGTATTCCTTCATAGCTCGTCTAGTTAGGGGGTAATAATTGTACATTGGGCTACTAAAGTTCAATGTTAGAGCGGGATAAAAATAATTTGTATTGTACGAGAAGCTGTTCGTTACTTACTTTCCTTAATTCACCGTGGCGGAAGTCACCCGTAAGATCGCAGCTTATACACAATGTTGTACACCACAATTTCACGAATCACTTACCTCTATTTTGTATGACCATTACGATTTTAATTTACTCACCTCCATTCTTAGGCTTTGTAGGCTCGCTGAGAGGTTTTTCCTTGCCAACCATCGAGACAAAATATCCGGAAAACGCCATGAACGTACGATATCTTGCTAAAAATCTACTGAAGACTAGAGGTCACGATACGATTATTAAATTAGCGAATTGAGTGGACCTAAATAACAATAATGGTTACCACGAGTTATTATTGACTGTAAACGATAAAATATTTCGAATCTTGTATGTATTCGAAAATATCATCAACGCAGCTTATCTTTCAGCAAACAAAAAACATGTAATCAAGGGTTGCTATGAGTTATTGCTTCATGTACAACCTCTCACTAGAGAATGAACATTATTGTAAAGGGTCGTTAGTACGGTTCGGAGTCGCACGGTTTGGAGTTGCAAGACAACTTCAAAAATACCATCCCACGACCCAATTTTGGGAGTTAGAATAACAGGTTCTTCTGCGATAGTGTAAACGCGATAGTTAGCGCCATTCAGCGACAACTATAACGCTGAATGGCGACAACTAGCGCTATCCAGCGCTAGTTGTCGCTGGATGGTGCTAGATATCGCGTTTACACTATCGCAAAAGAACCGAATAACATTTATATTTATACTTATAGCACGTACTAAGAAGGACAATCCTAATGTCTCTGATTCATATTCACAATAATAATAATATTGCTTTTAGCATTTGAACTAATTACAACATCAGGAAAATACCTAATAGTAAAAGTTTTACTATTAGGTATTTTCCTGATGTTGTAATTAGTTCAAATAAAGTGCAAATTTCCACGCTTGTTACCAAAAAAATAATTTTATAAATGAGTCCAGGCAATAAAATTTGGCATGCAATTTTGAAACAAAAGCCCTGTTGGATTGGGTGAAAATACAGTACTTGACGTGCATTTCGGGAATTTTAGTAACAGAGTATACCGTTCTTGTCGTCATGCCGTATCATCACAAACTAGCTGTACTTCGCGAAAGCGATGCAAAATGCAATTTGAATTAACATTAGCGCTAATGCAAGTACTCACTTTATTCGAAGCTTATAAGTGTAAGTGAAAGATTCTAGGCAGAAAAGTGAAATTTGAACGAAAGAGATCTTGTCACTTTGTCAATTGGGGCATAGATTTTTGCCCTAGCTTTTGTGGTTAGAATTTAATTACAGTTACAAACAACGGAAGCAACCGAAATTAGTGGAGAACAATTGTTTCACGATAATGATATAACAATACCAGTCATCGGTGCCAAATAATCATCAGTCCAAGAATGATCTTATTTCTTTGATAATGATATTAATTCTGGCTCTCCACCGCCGCTAAAACCTAAAATAGACCTATCTATATCAATCTAAAATAGACCTATCTATATCGGTTAATAACAGCAGCAGTCACTATCTGTAAACACGAGATATGTCACAACGATACTGCTAAGTCAGTTATACCTAGTCTGAGTCAATGATACGATTTAATGACATGAGATTTTAACTTTAAATCGCCATTGGTGCCGCAATGGAATCATCAAATCACCAATAATTCAATGGCAATCAGCTCGTCTATCGATCATGAGTCAGCCAAACGCCATAGTTTATTAGTAGAGTGGTGTCAATAGCGCTAACAGCCATGGCATGGTTGCAGCACCATAACCGAATGGAGGGTAACAGTATAGTCTATAGAGAGTGATCCACCTCGATTGTGAAGACTTGAATATACGATTATATCATTATCATACCATCTCAGTTCTCATGAAAAGAACCTCGTTTGCTGTAACATCCGGTAGCCATCCCTGGCCCAAAGGTTGCTACCCCTGTTAGAACAAAGGGACGAAAAGGAAGAGATTAACAAATGCAATGTCTTTTGGAGATCAGGATTATAATGTAATGTCGAGGTGTAATATATCGTGATGCAGTTCCTGTTCAGACGAGGGTCGTTCAAGGCGAATGTTAAAATCCCGGCAAGATTCCAAAAATATATATTTTGGAAAGCATTGACCGGTCGATTAGGATTCCGGGTGACAACTTATCATTTTGCGCTTAATGTAATTGTAATCAATGTTGTACTTATAGTTATTTAGTGGACATTAATTAAATTGAATAAACGCAAATTTAAACTTGAAACGCACCTTAGTTTTTGGTAGTTTTAGCAGATTTTATCGGATACAAATACAATTCACAAATAAACAACACGCTTACAATTACATTTTACAAGAAAAAGCTCAAACTATGATATCATAAATTAAAAGCTTGCCCTCCAATCTCCTTAACTCTATTACTATCATACGATAGCCTTGAGAACAGTGATACAGATGTAATTTTATTATTTTGAATATTCAGGTATTTTGTAAAAGCAAATTTACACAAGCGCCCCAGTAAAGAAAGAAACGTTAGCTATGATACTATAACTAAGCGATTGAGAATAAAGCGCTGTTTTACCTTGACTCTAAACTAGATAATTAAGTTATAATAAATAATGCGTAATGATAAATAGGTAGGTAGGTATGGTATGGTTTACATAGGTAGGATTTTCCGGAATCTCAGAATCGAAAAATTTACACATACTTAGTACCGAGGGTCAATAAATAATAATATAAACTATTTTTAATTAAGGTACTTACTGGTAACATGAAGGAAAGCACACCATTGGATAGGAAAATCAACCTACCTTATACGTGTTTCAGGAGGAAAAGGGAATAAGGACTTTATATGAATCGTTCACAAATCTATTTCTGTAATTCTGTCTTGGAGTATGACCTGACCGGACGAACTATAATAAATATGGACGGCAAACAAAATATAATCAAGGGAAAAGTTAAACGCACTGAGAATGTGTCTAACTAAATCCTCCCATAAACCCCCCGAATATAAAATTAATTTGTGCTTGCGAGAGACTGTCTCTGAGTAAATTAATATAGAAAAAATAAACAGTCCCGCCCAGGCTTGACCCTATCAATTAACCATGAAAATCACTGACTGGGCATGGCTCAAGCAGCCATGACGGTAGAATTCGGTTACAGTAGGTGGAGATGACCTGCTGCTCCAAGTTTACCATGCTCGGTAGAGCCAGGCAGATATCTCCATTTCGTATTTAGTCCATGTGTGCCAAGATTTACGTCCAATTTACGCAAAAATCGTCTGTAAATTGGTCGAAACTTTACTCGGTGAGTGCGGCTGATTTTCATTAGACGCAGATAATTATGGTAATTGTGATAATAATTACGTAATTATGGTCTGTATCTAATTATCGGAGTCAGTGCTCAAGAAGCCAATGGCTGAGACTTGTTTAAATCCCTGTAATCCCTTTTTAAACCATGCCCTGATAGCTTGATAGTTGATGTAGCCATGTGACATCGCTAATTTCCATTTTTCAGCATACTCCCTTCTATTTACCTACCAATTTACTTATTTTGTGCGGCACTGGCAGAAAGATCGAAGATTATCACGCTTAATGATTCATTTGAATGCAACTAAATTCTCACAGGACATTTATTCACTCACTTTCTCGCCAAGATTTGACTTTGCTAGGTCTGTGGTCCGAGTAATATTCAGATGGTGGATCAATTAGATTAATAATAAGTTTTATATAAATATAATTATCAGTTTTATAACTGACAGGCTATGCTCGCGCCGGGAGCGGCACTTATATCAAAATCATGGCCGACAGATGGTGAGTTACTGTTGAGTTTACTTCGTCAGCGCCAGTCTGGAAGTAACACGGCTAGTCCTGCCCACGTTGAATTTTCTGGATCCTTCAGATACTGAGACGGCTGGTGGTAAATTATCAAGTGCAATTAGTGAATTAAAAGTCGGACCTTCTCTTAATTATATTAGGAATGATACGTCAATAATATGAGCTCGTCAATATTTATGATTTGATATTTGATAGCTCTGGTTAAGTTAGGTGCTGACGAGGGTCGGACAGGGAATGAGAAAGAAAACTACATTTTATATGTGGCTTTAGAAATCAAATGCCCCAATGTGTAATTAAACTATTTAGTTTAATCAAATGAAAACTGACCATATGTTTATTGGTCACATAAACACTCAAAATCAACAGTAAACAAGCTTGATACAAAATCATATCTTTGATTTCATGCTAAATAAACTTTGATCAGCTTTCCCTAACAATAAACCATTTATTATACTTATCATCAATGAAGAACAAAAATCAAATATTAAATATGCATTCCTGCTTAAAAATTAACTTACAAACAATCATAAAAAGAGTATAAATAGAACGATAAGCCGGTTTGAATGTCTGTACCGTTCTGTATAAATAGAATAAAAGAAAATGAAGTGTTTCGCTGCTACTGATAAGTTAGAAAAATTCGTTGCATTATTATTATTACTGATAACACAAAGTAACTATTATAACTACGAACAGTCTTGGTTTACGTCACTGAAATTACAAACTATGACGACAAGTTGGTCAGCAAACCTAGCCCTGAACACCCAAGGTTAGATGTCATCCGCAGATAAGATGTCGTCTGCAGATAAGATTTCGGTCTGAATTTGACCATTAGTTTCTATACTCACGACCGTGTCGTATTCATTGGAGGCGCTTGAAATTACTCCGGTATCCTCCGAGATTTCGATGTCAAAAGCGGAGCTACCACTTGATTCCCTCAACGGTTCGCCAAGAGACTCTGTAACTGAAACCCCAATACCCTGATCAGTAGAGATACTGTTTCGAGAGTTGATGGAACTGTTAGATCTGAATCTGTGTTCCCTGGTTGAAACGTTAGACAGCTCAGCTGCCGGGTTAATCCCGCCACCACTGCGGCCCTCGCTTCCTGTTTGCTCTGTTCTACTGCCACTTGGCACTGACTCACCAGAAACAGATAGTCCTGAATTGCTGATAGCAGAAGATCTTGAAGCGGTCTCAATATTGTTATCAGTTGGCGGTGAAGCCTGTACTCTGTTTTGTTGGTCTGAAGACCGAGAAGGCTGGATATTGTTAGTCTCAATGATGGTTTCTTCTGGAGCCACCCTAGATAATCGTGAGAGGGAAGGACTGGTCACCACATTGCTTCTAAAGTGGTGGTTTGCTGTGTTCCCTCTGGCGCTGGAGGGCGGGGAAAGGTGATCTAGGTTCAGGAAACTATCTGACATGGATTTTTTGTCCATAATGTCTCGTATCAGGGTCCGTAGGTTGTGATTCTGAAGGATTTGGTTTATTCTTCTTTATTTCAGACGATAATGAAACGTGATTTTAAAACTGCACATGAGGAAATGCACTGTGGAGTTTGCCGAATTTGTAACCCCTTTTTAGGTTTCAAAAACATACATAATATAGTTCAAGTTGAACTTTTAAGATAAAACGTATAGATAAATAAATTAGCTTATCAGATATTTTACCTGTATGAGGCGTTTACTGATCTCCCCGTTTGTCATGGGGCTTGTTCCGTTTCTCTTAAACCAGGCCAGAATTGCTTTCTCCTCGTATGAGAACCCATCACTCGCCACCACTGGGTTTTTCTACGGAGAGTTGGTTTTATTAGTCTGTGAAAGCTTTTCCAACTTAACGATCCGTAAATTTGACTATGTTGGTGAGCTTTTAATCATATCCCTGCAGTAGTAGGAGCATGCCGGGCATGATGGAGTTTATTTAAAGTCAAACTATACCCTTTAAAATCGAATGATCAAAGCCGTCGAATCTTGAGACTTGAGAGGGCATCAAGATTCATACAGCAAATATTATAATTTTAATGGGCCTGACACGCGACAGTAATTGGCTAACCAGTTTCAAGCAGCGACGAACAATTTCACGTGTCAAAACAAATGTGGATTGTGGAACACATAATTAAGGTTAAATATTAGAAAGTAGGACTAGTAATTTGAACATAAGTGGGTCACTCTGATATACAGACTATTAGTCACGAGGCGGTAATGACAAGTTATATTAACCCTCAGTTTAACTTTAATGCTCTCACCGTAATGAAGGTCGGGTAACGGGTTATCAACTTGTAGCAAAATGGTTATATCATAAACTTGACAATATAGTTTAGCAAGACCCACGAAGGTATGGTCAAGTGAAGACCCACGAAGTTGTCCCAACGTAGGGTATGGTCAAGACTCACACGCATGTTGTTGTGCCCACGTATGTTGTAAGTTGTTGTGCACACGCATGTGCAAAGTCTTTTCCAGGACACGGACGGAGGACACATAACCGCCGAAACGTGGATCTATATTTCAAATATTCAGACTATTTATTAAACTATTTAACTTACCATGCATTCCCTGGTAATGGGGCAGATGAGTTGGTTTGGGGGCGAAGAGGTGGAGATAGCGAGCATCTTGTAGCCTTCACCATGTGTAATAGTAGAGGGTAGGGCGTCACAGTTCTCTGGGGAAATTAGCGTGTAAGGAGATACTGTGATGAAGATAATTGTACCAGGAGTATATCATATGTTAAGTTTGGGTGTCTGTAGTTATAATTTTGGGGAGAACTCGTGGGATCAGCTGTGACGGACAACTTCGTTCTCTCTGTTTTAATGATCGCGGGTGTTAAATTTACTCACCGAATATAGTACCACCAGTGTCACTGACACCTGGACTGGAACAGCGCTGTTTGAGTCTGGCTAACTTCTGCTTGCTGTAGAATATGTAGCCGACACTGCCAGCACCCGTTATTATGAGCAAGGCGACTGAGAGAGGAGCCAACCACTCAAACACTGCACCCCGTATCCTAGGAGACAACAGTTTAGCTTTTTTAAATACCTTAAATCTTGTCGGCAGAGTTTTGGCGAATTTAACAGAAAATTGTCGGAGACAAAGCTCGGGAAATTGCAACATACTTCATGAATTAAGAGAGTACCTAATATTACTTGCAAATTGTTTCAAAAAATATGTCTGAAAACTAAAGAGATCTAGAGTAGATGAAGTAGATAAAGTAGATGAAGTAGATGAAGTAGATGAAGGCTACTGTAAAATCACCAACTATAAGGGCTTGTAGTTGTACCTGTCAATGGTTTTAACAACAAACTTTGCTTCTGTCGTCCCCAGCACGTTCGTAGCCCGACACGTAAACACTTCCTCACTCGTGACATCAGTTACTATTAGTGTCGCTGCGTCTACTATCACAATGTTGCTGTCTGAAGTTGGAGACTTGTGAAACAGTGTTTTAGTTTTACGTGTTTTAAACACGTGCTGGTTAACTGTTAATATAAGTTGGAGGTGAGAAATGTAGTTTACGGACTTTGTTGGTTGTTTCAATTGAGCCATTATGAACAAGTTGTCAGCTTTTAGAAATCGCTACGCATTCAGACAAAATTTCAAAGTTAACTATCATAACCGGTAATTAAAACTATCAAGTTCCACTTTTCGTAAAATTAAAGTGAAATCAATATGAAATGTCTTACGTTCGGTGTTTTTGACGCTGTTGTTACGATAGAACCACTCGACAGTTGGTGGTGGAGCTCCAAATGACTTGCAGGTCAATTTAGCTGTTCCTTTTCTTTGTACCTCCACCAGCGAGTTGCTGTCATCTATGTTCGGTCCACTACTTTCTGATAGTGAAATTTAAGGTGAAAGAGTAATTAATCAAGATAGCGAAGTAGAAGAAAATGCAAACACTGATATTAATTTGTACTTAATGTTCATACAATTTAGCTAACAGCTCGGTGAACTCACCTTTTTTCAACAAAACATTGATGTAGACTGTTCTGTTCTGTAATGGAGCTTGGTAGATGACCCTATACAAGCCCTCGTCTCTGGAGGTCATGTGTCTGAGCACAAGAGAGCAGTCCTCCTCTCCAGTCTGGTACCTGAGAACCCCTCTTCGATACCAGGATACAGTGCCTGGTTTGGACTTGTGACAGGGTATAACCTGCTCGTATCCTATCTTGTAGAGTGTTATCTCTGCTGGGACTGACAGCTTCATCTCATCTGTTGGAATGTTAGATGTTAAGTTGTCTTGGTAATAAAGAGGAACGTAAAGAGGTTAATGAGTACTGAGTAGTAAGAACTAAGCATGAAGTTTGCGTGATCTTAAAACGTCTGGAAGGTTCTGGAAAGGAAGGAAAGTTTTTAATTATGATGTTCACTGACCACATCCTAACTGCTGAGGAGTAAGCTCATCTAATCTGACATTGTGAAGGTCAGGGTTGGAGGTGGAGGAGCATGTGATGCTGGTGCTGGCGTAGTTCAGGAATTGGGAGGGAGGCAGCTCCAGTAGCTTACAGTCGCAGTGGATTGGGTTATCCAATAGATCTCTGAACGATTGAGGATTCGTTAACGATATCTATATCTATAAGTCAGCTTATTTAGTATAGTGACTTAGTGAGTAATTTTGAACTTTGAATTTAAATCAGGGACATTTTAACGGAAAGATCAGTTTCATTGGTATCTTTGATGTTATTACATTTAACTTATTTTACTCTAACTTCGTATTTTATTAAATATATATTCTAGAATCCCGTATATTGAGTATTTAGCGGTACTTACAGCTTGACGTTGGTAATTCCCTTGTCTGGTATAGTAGTTAAAATGTTATCTGTCAAAATTCTGAAAGACAATTTGTCACTAGTTGAATAGCGGGAATGATTTATCCATTTATGGTCTTCATTCAATTTTGAAGTATAACGGTAACCAAATATATTCAACAATCTGACATCAGTTCGATTATATAACGATTTAACAGCAATAATATGATAGTCCCCAATTCTACTGAGCTACAATAATTTGATATACATCGCAGTCTAGTTCCGACTTAAAAACCAGAAAACTAAGTGTAACTTCACCATTAATTACTCGTAATTTGAAGAAACATTGTTATTAATGTGACTTACAGCTTTAAAAATAAAAATTTTTTAAAAATAAAATAAAAAACTTACAGCTGTTTTAAGTTGTTTAAATCAGAGGCTAGCGCAATCAGCTTGCTCCAACTTTGGTCTCTTAATCTGTTATGAGAGAGGTCCCTGCAAGATTTTAATGGGTCAGGAAGTTATAATACTTGTATTTAACTTTATAACTTTATAATACTCGTATTAAACAATGACTATTGAGCAATATTATATATAATATAATATATAATATTATATATAAGTGCTTAAGGTCTTGATCATGATATTATGCTCGTATTGACGTAAAACAGTAGAGCAAAAAATAGCTGCAATTCACAAAGGATAGATAAAAACTAAAAAGCAAAGGCACTTAGTAAAGATCTAAAAACCTCATTAGCTCTAACCTAAGCCCATTATAAATGTATAGTCATATTATAAGTGTAAGTCATCTTTGTAAATATTTTATAATATGGTAAAATATCATACTACATAATTTATATTCTACGAGAATTTCGCAATTTGATAACAGTTTTATCTTACAGTATGGTTGTGTTAAGGGACACTCCGCTAGGCACATCAGAGAGTTCCAGTGAGGTACAGTTCACAGAGGTGTTGAAACATATACAGGAGACCGGGCAGGAGGAGACAGGGAGTGAGATACTGATGTCTAGAAGGAGGACGAGGACGAGGAGGATGGAGGAGGGCTGTCTAGATTGACAGGGGTTGAGCATTGCCAGCTGGGATACAAGATTAGATAGAGCGGGTTACATGTATTATTCAACATACAGATTATAGGGATGTTTCATCTCGAGGACATAGGATGAATTTAGAAGCAGAACGGCTTCAAATAATTAAATCTTTTATCGTTTATTATACTGACGAAATATTTGAATATTATCGGAATAAATAACACTAATTCGGTCACGTAAAAAAAAGCTGGTGGTGCAACATTGGAAGTACCACTGGAAGTTAAAAGAACACCACCATGTGGGAGGCAGTGGGCCGCTATTTACACAAGGCAAACCCAATACAACACTGCAACACTACAGCAACTGTGCTAGAAAATACAATCTGCAGATTATTGTGGTGAGTAATGTGAATGGAGGTACTCTTGACTCTAGAGAGGTCGAGGAGATGTAATTATCTCCTAGAAGGCAAGCAGCAGAATAGTAGACGAAATTATGTAAAGTGGTAGTTATTAGTAGTACAAGTAACAATTGAAAAATAATATACAAATCGTGTGTGGTTATAAGAAGTGTGGTTAAAAGGTAAAAAGAAATGTTTTAAAGAGACATTCAACTCTTGACACACGAACATCATAGAAAGTGCTCAACTCCTAAAGTAGTAAAATTAAAATGTGATGAAAACCACAAGATCAGCCGTTGAAAGGTTAAATTGGTTGGGTGTGAGACTTGGGACCAGCCACATGACAGTGGTCACAGTGGGGCAGACAATAGGAAATGGGCTACCCCTCTGTTGATGGGTCATTACAATAAAATCCTGACACCTAATTAGCACAAATTTGATTAGGGCTTACATTTGTAGTAGTGCCTGTTTGAATAGAATTGTAAAGTGTAGAGTGTACAATAGTACAATCTTACATTACAACAGTCAACAGTCAGCAGTCAACAGTCAACCAAAGATTACCGGTGTAAACTGTAGCAGGAGGCATTAAGATTTATAAAGCCACATTGTTGCAGCCAAACAAAAGCCTTGTAACTAAGCAAAAGCCTTATAACTAAGCAAATGCCTAGTAACTAAGCAAAAGCCTTGTAACTAAGCAAAAGCCTTATAACTAAACAAAAGCCTTGTAACTAAGCAAAAGCCTAGTAACTAAGCAAAAGTCTTCTAACTAAGCAAATGCCTAGTAACTAAGCAAAAGCCTTGTAACTAAGCAAAAGCCTTATAACTAAACAAAAGCCTTGTAACTAAGCAAAAGCCTAGTAACTAAGCAAAAGTCTGGTAACTAAGCAAAAGCCTAGTAACTTAGTAAAAAGACACCAGAAGACACCAGAAGACACGGCGGCACACTGCACAGTAGTAGAACAGACCTAGACTCTAGAGGACTACTTACTATGACATTATGTCCTAGTATATGTCCTGGACATGCATTAGGTACTATATATACCAATCGTAGTATATATACATAGAACATAGAACTAGGACTTGTTTGAAGCACTTAAGTGAGACTAATTCATTTTTCATGATTCAAAGCGAGCATTTTTAGACCACAACAAAATACAAATTATTTGTAGAAACAAATGTCCATGTAGAAATCAAACAATAACTTTGTTTAAAAATAGTTCCAGATCAAAGCTGAGACACGAATTAAAACTTAGAAGCAATGATTACCTTATAAACGGAATACAGATACGCGATAAACATAATGGCCAATAGACAAAGAAGAGTACTCAAGAGTAATCAACTGTTATAAAGAAAAAATTATGTACTTACATGATCAGATTAAAACAATGTGCTACTTTATTCCACACCAAAAGTAATTACTAATTATTACTAAATATTACTAATTAGACGGAAAATATCATAATTAAAAACGCCCGTTGTTAAATCATCGCGGTTGAAATAAAAGAATGCTGTCGTTGCTTCAAATTACTTAATGCTTATGCTCTTATGTTGTATGTGGGCAGCTGAGAAGCGGTTATCCAACCTGAAGTCTTGCAGCTGCTCTAAGCGAGCGTTCACATCAGCAAGTTTTTGGCCATTTTTACTTTGCTTTTAACTATCCTTTGAACTAGAGATTCAGGTGAAAGTTGATTGAGTTAAATGATGGTCACTAAGGCTTTCGTTATGCGAAACGGTTATGCCATTGCAACTGCTCTTGAAGCTCAATTGCATCGAATAACACGTAATTGTCTCTGAGTTGACAGTGCAGCAATAGGTAAAAATGACTAGCATCAAGCAAGAGCAGAATAGTGGATAAAGAATATAGAACGAGATCAAGCAAGCAGCACGAGGATATTATTTACTAACAAATCGTAAAAATACTGAGATTTGGAATTTTCTTACTGTACATGTGAGCATTTATATTAAATATCCTGAGTCTAGAATAAAAGAAATTTTAGGAAATTTTTCCTTTCAACAATCGGAATAAAAGCTACAAAATCCCGGCAACTTAACAGAATGGACTATCAGATATTGGCGTGAGAATTGAGAATTCCACCCTCTTGTACAACAGAGGTGACAACTAATTTGATCCCGAATCTGATTAAGATAATGCACTAAGTGGGTCGTAACGTAAGATTCCATGTAATGAGCTAATCAATTAACGTAGTAAGATGAGACATTTCGCCTAATTAATTGGAATGCAAAATACCGGATCAATTAAGACGATGAAACACAAGTTAGAATTGTTTAAGATGAAACGTTGTGATGACTGAGACCATCATGTGTTGATTAAAACAATGTTTACTAACAAAACATCTTAGAAAACTGAAAGACTGCTGACGATGAAATCAATGATGTCATTGGACCTGCCGTTTTGAAATCTAACATTGCAAACTGGTCATCGTCACAGTCACAGTCACAGTCACAGTCACAGTCACAGTCACAGTCACAGTCACAGTCACAGTCACAGTCACAGTCACAGTCACAGTCACAGTCACAGTCACAGTCACAGTCACAGTCACAGTCACAGTCACAGTCACAGTCACAGTCACAGTCACAGTCACAGTCACAGTCACAGTCACAGTCACAGTCACAGTCACAGTCACAGTCACAGTCACAGTCACAGTCACAGTCACAGTCACAGTCACAGTCACAGTCACAGTCACAGTCACAGTCACAGTCACAGTCACAGTCACAGTCACAGTCACAGTCACAGTCACAGTCACAGTCACAGTCACAGTCACAGTCACAGTCACAGTCACAGTCACAGTCACAGTCACAGTCACAGTCACAGTCACAGTCACAGTCACAATCACAGTCACAATCACAGTCACAGTCACAGTCACAGTCACAGTCAAGTCACAGTCACAGTCACAGTCACAGTCACAGTCACAGTCACAGTCACAGTCACAGTCACAGTCGCAGTCACAGTCACAGTCACAGTCACAGTCACAGTCATCGTCCATGATCGCGCAGTCTGCCAAGCGAGTGCGATTCTTTAAAACATTTGATGTGTGAAGTTGATTAAATTCAATACAAGCTGCATTAACTCAGCATTGCTGAGGCTGAGCTTGTCATCCCAAGCAATATTAAATAATAAATACTATTATATGCTACAATAAGCCCATATTTATTAAAACATTACGTAACCTTTTTTATTTCAAAATTCAAATAAACTTTACATCAATGTATTACAGTTATATTTAGAAAAGACCACAATAGCTCCTGTGAGGCAAAAACATGGAAAGTGAGAGCTAGAAAAATATTCCTGAGACTCAACACTACCAGACTGCAGCTGGAGTGAGAAACAATATGTAAACATCATAATAAAATCGTAACATGTCTATTGTTTAGTGTTACTAATAAATCCAATAACCATGCTGGCAGCCTGGCATTGTTTTTTGATATGAACGTGGTTCAGTATAATGTAAAAGTAATATTTTACTTTCAGGTTTGTTTTAAATACAATTAACATGAAATGTACCTGATATAAACGATTGCTCCAAAATTCGAAATCGATTACCAACCTTTAGTCTAGACATGAATGGTTTCGATGGTTCTGCAAAGTTTAACCCAGCTAGGGAAAAGGACTACATTATCGACCAATTTCCTTTTTATTACATCACCGGCACGTTCAGCTGCAAGTAGATTGCTAGTAGGAAGTTGCAACACCCTAATTAGGAGAACAGAATTTGATATCACTATTAAAGTATTAAAGTCTGGAAGTGATTCGGCCGAGGTGATTTGGGATTGCTTCTGCTATTTATAATTATATTAAACTTAAAGTATTCGGCTGCTCAGTGCTCTGGTGGTTTGAAGTATCTAGTGAGCGTAATATACCCAGGGTTTTATCAGGAAGATGGATATTAGCTTAGTTTTATTACTATCCCATGAAACCGGCCAACTGGAATCCAATTAATCATCTTAGTGGAGAGATCTGATCTTACATATCAACGAGATGCAGTTCACGTTTGCAATATATTTGAGGGATGTTCGATTATGAGGACTAAACTTTTACTGTGTTTAGCAAAAATTACAAAAATGAATTGAGCCGGCAATAATGAGCTGCTACGTTTTTGCATTGCTTCTTAAAGTGCTTCTTCAAACACTGCTAAAATACCAAACACTGCACAGGTTTTTGGGTGCCGGGCCATCCTAGTTACCTTGCTATGGGCCGTTCCCCTGGCTTATGCAGGTCTAGTTTACACATATATATACTGCACAGCAAAGAGCAGAATTGGAACTCTATCTTGTGATATTTTATAACTACTGTCGACTGCAATTACCCGTCCTTTTAAGGGTTTAACCATCATTATTAATAGCTGCTAGTCTGAGAAACAGGTTTTAAAGTCCGTGAGAACTTGACACAGCTGGAAAAATATTAAATAAGAAACGAGTTCATGTCAGCGTTCATGAGCGGCTTCTGCCACGATTTTAATAATATGTCGCAAAATTATTTAACCCATTTACGTCAAAATAAGTTAATGGGTTAAAACTTTCTTCTATCACTACCATGAATCCACCACCAAACGAGCACTCAAGCATTATAATATCATGACAAAAGCGAAAAAGGATAAAATGGAGTTGGTAGAAGCAAAACAATGCTGC